CCCGCGCCCGCCTCAACTTTTTGTACAGCCCGGAGAGATACCAGCCCCCCAGCCCCTAGCCCCCCGGGTCCTGCCATGGACTTCATAGAGAAGGACGCACCACGGAGTTGGGGGCCGACTCCTCCAAGCAGCCGGCTTCTCACCGCGCGGAAGCAAACTTAGCGGCGCGGCCAGCCCCACAGCCATTTTCCCGGGTAACCGGGGGAAGCGGCCGAGGAGGGGGCTGCCGCGGCGGTTCCTGCAGTTGCTGCCGCTATTCCCTGACTTGCCACTTCTCCTGCGCTCGCTGCACCGCTTGCCTAGCATCTTCCTCCCTTCCTCCAAAGCTTCCAACTGCACCGGGACCCCGGGCAGCAGCACCAGCTGCTACTGCCGCTTAGACCATTCAGTATACCCGCTTCCCTTCTCCCCACCTTACCTACTGAGGGTGAAGTGCGAGCTGTCAGCTCTCGAGTCCTCCACCCCACTGATCGCCGTGGGCCCCCGTCCGGGAAACACCGCTCCGGGCCGCGGCGGCAGTTCCTGCGCCGGATTCCCCACTCGCCCCGATTTACTGCCACAATCCACCAAATAACAAGCTGTTGAGCAGACTCTCTTCTACACGAACTCCTATTGGCTGCCCATGACGCCGAAGAGCTTTGGATTGGAGCTCGTTACCTGCCGTTCTCATTGGATGTAGATGTGAAACTTCATGGATTGGTGGGGAAAACAGCAGGTAGGATATCTTCCACTTATGATTGGCTGTCATCGAAGCCCAACCTTATTGGAGAATCAGAGATTGAGTAAGCAAGTCCTGAGAAATGATTGGGAGAGACGACTCCGGATGTGCTTGGCTGAGCACTGATTGGTGCATTGAGGGGTCAGGAAGAGCAGTTCCACACGAGGATTGGCGGTGAAGTGTCCCATGGAAACGGAACCCAGAACTGCAGCCAGGAGCTTGCACGGGGGCGGGGCAGGGTGTTTCCAAGGCGCCTGCGCTAAACCAGCTTCTCGGCGCCATTTTGTCCCGGCAGCAGTGGTCGCAGCTCTATCGCATTTTATGTTCCTGGCTGGAGGAAGCGGAGTTTTCAGCCGGTAGATTTATTTTAATGTGGCGCCCATTCAACGTTCGCTCCGGGACAGCACTCAATGAAGACCGGTGGAGTCTCAGAGCTTTTGAAAAGGTGAGTTGGAGGCTATGGTTGCCCGACTGACTAGGGGATGGCGCAGCTTTAGCGGTACCGGCACCGGAAGTGAAGGGGCCGCAGGCGGCCATGGTTAAAGTAGGTTTCCCCGCCGTGGGGTGGAGTGTGGGGGCGGGGTGTAAGGGGGCGAGGCTTCCTCTCCCGCCTAGGAAAGAGAAAGACTGAGGAGGCTGACTCGTGGTCCTGGGAGGTAATCCTGTGGTCCCTACTCAAGAGAATGAGCGGTGTTCTGGATTTTTCTCCGAGCAGTCAGTCTTTCCTCCCTTTGGAAGTGCGTTTCAGGGACTTGTCATATTTTCCACCAGAGAAGTTACCGCCGTTGGGGTGTCCTTGTTAACACAGGGAGGATATGGTTCTTTGAAACCTCTTGCGTTGGGGGAGGTGTTTTCCTCCTACCCCTCCCATACGAAGCTTGAAGGAAGCTAGCAGGCTCTGGCATTTAGAATGCCAAGGAATTTACTTGCTGGTTCAGAGGCTGCTACTGTGACCTTAGTCAAGATGAGTGTCACTGTGCTCGTCGAGGCTACTTTGTGAAAGAGACTAGCAATACCTCTGCAACTGAAAATACCTTTGTTGAAAGGACTTCCCCTATGGAGCTGTTAGCAACACTTTGTCTGTTAAAGCAGTCAAGAACTGACATATTCTAAATAGTGCATCTGGGTTATTGACACTTATAAAGAATGTAATATCTTTGACAGTCAACACCGACTAAATTTGCACAAGAGGACATTTTAACGTAGAATTTATTTTTTACCAAGTTGATTTTTCTCAAAATTGTTCATTAAAAATGTGAAACATCTGTATTTCCAGTGAGTGACCTAGTCATACTTAACTGAATAGATGCGTGGGCCTCAAGACTAGAGAACAGTTGAGTGATTTAACAACTCTTTGGGGTTTTTTGTTTACTTTTTGTTTTTGGCAGTTGGTTGAAGACAACATATCAGTGGCAAACAGCTCAAGTATGATAGAGGTGAGTTCTAATATCTGTAAGACTCTACAATTGAGTGGACCACCAGGAAAAGTTTTCTGTGGACTAGTAAATAAATACTAGAATGCAAGAATGGTAGTTGAAAGAGGTTTTATTTGGTCAAGGGTTCAAATAAGTCTGCTTAATTAGCTTCAGATGTGATGTTTGAAATCCCCAAATTAGGACATCCTCAGAATTGTTTACCTATTCATGTAGTTCTTATTTCTGGACTTCAGAGTGCTTCATGTTTTTATGAAGAAACACTGTATATTTTTATAACCCCTCCCCCCCATTTAAAAATTTCTTATACAGAGATCAATAAGCAAGTTTAAGAGTGAGGTGATTTTGTTTAAAAGGTAATTATAAAACAGTAGAATAATATCAAATTTCCCAGGGGGCATTCACACATAGTTAATATTACCAACTTTATAGAGTTATTATTTGATATAAATATGCACTGCGTGTCAGTGATCTTTTGGAAATTACTGAAAAACCCAAAGAAGATAAAAATTTCTTGTATTTCTTTTTTTTAACATTTATTTTTTAGAAGTAGTTGAACACAATATCTTTATTTATTCATTTATATGTGGTGCTGAGGATAGAACCCAGGGCCTCGAATGTGCTAAATGAGCGCTCTACCGCTGAGCCACAACCCCAACCCCCCCAAATTTCTTCTATTCTACCAAATGATAGTAATTACAGTTCATACTGTGCAGAGGGTTATTTTGATGGTTTAAAATATCATTCTAGGGCTGGAGTTGTGGCTCAGAGCTTGTCTAACATGTGCAAGGCCCTGGTTTTGATCCTAAGCACCACATAAAAGTAAATAAATAAAATAAAGGTATTGTGTCCAATTAAATAAAACATATATATATATATATTTTTTTTTTTAAATCCTAATTGTACTTATTTTTTACCCACTGGGAACATCAGAAATAATTTATCCATAAAGCATCTTTCATGGCCTCATAGTGTTAGATAGGACAGATGTACCATAATTTATATGACCTGTTTTGTTTACTTTTCTATAATAGCACTAATATGTCAGTGAATATCCTTGTACATATCAGTGACTAAAATTTCTAGGCATGTAGATCTTCTAGCATACCCCTAATTAATTTTTTGTAATAAATTCCCAGAAGTGGAAATATAAGGCCAAAAGAATTGTACATTTGAGGGTTTGGATACTTGTACAATTGTCCATCAGAAAGCTCTCTTGCCTTATGATTTTATTTGTTGTCCTTTTTTTTTAATTGAAACCTTCCACCCAGTTTTCTGTTTATTCTTTATTTCTGAGATCTGTTACTCAAATAGAATTATTACAGTTTTTTTTTCCCCCCTCAAGGAGTTAATACTCAAGTCAGTTGAGTATTACTACTTTGTGTTTCCATGCAGCCTTCCCTAAAGTTTCACATATTTACATATACATTCCCTTAGTGCTATTGTAGCCTCATAGTGCCTTTTACATACCTTTCACCTCACTTTCTTTGCAATTATTTGCCTCTTCTCAGGTTTAAGAATGTTCCCAAAAGGCAGCAACTGTTTTTAATTGCCAATATGTTCCTCCTCCTAGTACATTGTAAGATATTGAATCTGTATGTACAATTGTATACAAAATGTGAGAAATAATAAGCTAACATAACATTTTTAATAGTACTTTTGAAAATTAATGATGTTCTACAGTTGCCAAGGTAACCTTCAGATTTTTTAATGTTCCAGATACTTAATATTCAATTGATTTGTAGTTATTAATAAAATACATATTTACAGAACCCATTAATAATGTATCAATATAATTTTCTTAAGACTTTATTCATCAATCCTTTAAGGATTTTAAATCTTTTTTTTTTTTTTTTTTTTTGCTGGGGATTGAACCCAGGGCCTTGGGCTTGAGAGACAAGCACTCTTCCAACTGAGCTATACCCCCAGCACCAAGGATTTTAAATCTTAATAGA